TACTAAACTTGTTTTCACTAATTCCTTGGTGGCTTTAGAGCAATGTGACAGCATCAGTCTCTCTGTGTGCTTTAGTCGTGAAACATTCCTACTTTTGTATGGCTGCTAGTTGCACCTGTGTAGCTTTCTGTAATGAACTTGTTGAGGAGGAGCCATCTGTAGCATTTCCCTGCACTTTCACACTGACCTGTGCTATCAGAGTGCCTTTAGAAGCTGGAAAACATCTTAACCTGGGCCGGGTTCTGGAACCTTTGTTTTCAAGCACTTCTTTCTAGCATAGAGATTATAGGTGAGTTTTTTATTACATGTAGGATATCAGTCAGTCAGGTTAAGCCAGATGACATATTTTAACAGGTTTTTACCAGGAAACCTATATGGGTACATGGATTCCAAAGGAAGAACATAATAGCAAAGAGTGCTCAGAGACCTGTAGAAGCAGGTAGAAGGAAACAAGTGTGTGAGGATAAGAATCTTGAATATTACTTGCAATCCCAGTATTTAGGAGGTAGAGGCATAGAAAAATCTGGGAGTTCAAAACCTGTCTGGTCAATATAACAAGTTCCTGGGGCCAGCCAGGGCTACATAGAGTAAAACACTGTCTCAAAACAGCCTTCATTTACCCAATCGTTTTTGGTTTTTCGAGACAGGGTTTCTCTGTATAGCCCTGGCTGTCCTGGAACTCACTTTGTAGACCAGGCTGGCCTCGAACTCAGAAATCCGCCTGCCTCTGCCTCCCAAGTGCTGGGATTGAAGGTGTGCGCCACCACTGCCCAGCTATTACCCAATCTTTAAAATCCTTAGAGTCCTCATTTGTGACTTAATCTCTGTCATCTGGTTTCTTTGTAGACATCTGATCCAGATGTGATCCTCTGCAATTCTGTAGAGTTGATCCGTGAGAGGCTGACTGTATCCGAGGATGTATCCCAAGTAGAACACCAGGAGGAACCAAAGCACAGTGATGACTATGTCTATGACATTTACTATATGGAGATGGCCTCTCCAGGGTGGATCGAGAACATCCTGTCTGTGCAGCCCTACAGCCAGGAGTGGGAGCTGGTAAGGGGGTCCAAGAGGAAAAGGGGATAGTGAGTGAGGTACTACTTACTTCCTAGACCCCACTCCTGTTTTTAAATTTCAAAATCAATTTTATTTAGTGTGTATGCATGGTGCATGTGTGGATAATTTGTTTGTTTGTATCACGTGAACTCCTGGGATGCAATTTAGGTCATCAGGTTTGGTGGCAAGCACGTTTAACCACTAAGTCATCTTACTGTCCTTTTTGGGGGGGTAAGGGGGAGAGATGGGATCTCATATAGCCCATTGAGTGTCTTCCTTGATGCAGGGTCTCTCACTGAAACTAGAGCTTGCCAATTACAACTAATCTAATGACAGCTTACTCCAGGGATCCTGTCTCTACCGCCCATTTGCTTCGATCTCAGGCAGGCTACCCAGCCGACCCAGCTTTTAAATGGCTTCCGGATATCTGAACTGCTACTTAAGCTTGTATAGCCCTTTTTATTTTTGTAAAAGGATATCACAGTGTAGTCCAAGCAGGCCTTATATGTCGCCCAAGCTTTTAACTCGTGGCAATCTGAATTTCCTCAGCTTCCCCAATATTGGGATTATAAGCATGTACCGTTACACCTAGCTATAGACTCCTCTCTTGATAAACATTTTTCTAGTTCTTGTTTTTGCTTGGAAGGAAAACTCTATTCTAAATCCTTTGTAGAAACCCTAGTTCAATACAGCAAATATGTTGGACTACTTACTCTGAAAGTTTTGATCACAACCTTGAGACAATAAAACCAGACATGAGTAAGAACAAAAAACTTTATGGAGGTTTTGCCTACATGAATATCTGCACATCACTTGCATGCTGGTGCCAAGAGGCCAGAAGAGAGTTACATCTTCTGGCAGTGGAGTTTACAGATAATTGTAAGCCAACGTGAAGGTGTTAGGAATTCAACCCAGGTCCTCTTAAAACATTAAGTGCTCTAACCACTGAGTCATCTCTCTAACCCCCACAAAAACATGCTAAATTTCAAGAAAAGCCAGGCATGCTGGCATACACTTTTAATCCCAGCACTTAAGAAGCAGAGCCAGGTGGGTCTCTATAAAACCATCCTGATTTACACATAGCAAGTTCCTTGCTGGCCAGGGCTACATAGTAAGTCCCTGTCTCAGAAAAAAGGGAAGAAAATTTTCCTTAATGTCCCGACTCCATAAATGTTGAGGTCCCCCCCCCCCCAGTTTATGTGTATGTATGAGTGAGTCTATGTATCTGTCTGCCTAAGTGGGTTTGCATGTGTCTGTGGGTGCCCTTGGAGGCCACTGTTAACTAGTGCGGATAGGCACCACCTTAGACCACCACGATGTGATCTCTACTCCTCCTTTCCTCTACCACATACCCTGAAGTTTTTGGTCCTAACCTTTGGCATTATCCACAGTTGTAAAACCCTCTCCCACCTGGCCATTCATGAATGCTACTTCACAGTCATTCCCCTCTAATGGCATTGGGATATGGTATCTGTAGCTAGACTATTGATCTGGGCCTAAGATTACCTAGTCTTGCTCTTGCTCTCTTGATCCCTCTGTCCCCTCACCCCTTCTCTCTACATGCTCATGGCCGGCCTCTACTTCTCAACTTTCTCCCTCTCTCTGCCTCTACTGCCCTCTTAACTCTGCTCCCCATGCCCTGAATAAGAACTTTATTCTATACTAAATAAAAAAGATTACCTAGTCTCTCGTATAGCAGAGTCAAACTCTTCCTTGTCTGCCTTTTTACATGGTACCTTTACTTGACTCTCCCCAAGATGGCATTGCCAATAGCGTCCCATAAGAGCATAACTTATAGAGTTTGGACTTAAACTCATGTTTATGTTGAGATGTTCAGGTGAATGATGCTGAGCAGCCAGAAGATATTTATGAAGATGAAGATGATGAAAACAGTGAAAATAATTGGCGCAATGAGTACCCAGATGAAGAAAGCAGTGACAGAGATGAAGATTCCAGAGGTGAGTAGCACCCGGATGGTGTGGGACTGGTAGGAGTCACGATCGAGGTGAAGGTATGATGAATTGATGGGGCTGCCTGCATATGGGTGGCTCCCCTCTCTACAGGGGAACTGCTAGGGAACGTATTAACTGAGTTGGAGAAACGGCACTGTTTCTGGAGAAACTGGCTGTTCTTACAAACGATGTGGGTTCTGTTTCTAGTACTGACGTGGCAGCTCACACCCATCCTTAATTCCACTCAATTCCAGGTAACCTGACTCCCTCTTCGGACCTCTGTGGGTACCAGAGGTATACATGTGCTCATACATACATTCAAGGAAAACACTAATACATTTAAAAAATAAGTAAGAAAATTGCATATGGTTTAATCCCACCATTTGGGAGGCAGAAGCAGATGGTATCTGAGCTCAAGGACAGCCTGGTCTAAAATGAGAGTTCCAGAACACCCAGGGATACACAAAGAAACCCTTTCTCAAAAAACAAACAAAAGGTCTTAACATTATAAGCCAGCAAGGTCTGGCAACGTGAGTTGGTAGAATCTTCTCCGTAAAAGGAAAACCAAGGTCTATAAGTTGTCATCTGACCGCTACACATAACACGTACATATAAATTAATTTTAAAAAAGAGATAAAGTATTTACATGGCTCTAGTAGGACATACCTGTCATCCCAGCACTTGCTGAGGTGGCAGAGCAGTGAGGTCTAGACAAATCTTCAAAGAAAGTGGGGGGAAGGAGATGATTTAAAAACAAAACAGTGGTGGCGCACGCCTTTAATCCCAGCATTTGGGAGGCAGAGGCAGGCGGATTTCTGAGTTCGAGGCCAGCCTGGTCTACAGAGTGAGTTCCAGGACAGCCAGGGCTACACAGAGAAACCCTGTCTCGAAAAAACAAAACAAAACAAAACAAAAAAAGATCTGGGCTGAAGAGATGGCTCTCATCAGTTAAGAGCACTGACTGTTCTTCCAGAGGTCCTGAGTTCAATTCCCAGCAACCACATGGTGGCTCACAACTCTCTAATGGAATCCAATGCCCTCCTCTGGTGTGTCTGAAGGCAGCAACAGTATACAATATGCTTACCTAAACCAAATAAATCTTTTTTAAAAAAGGTTTCTGACCCTTGATCATTTGGCTGCTAAGCCTGATGACCCAAGTTTGATTCTCCAACACCCACATAATAGGAGGCAAGAGCTGACTGTTGGAAGTTGTCTAAGTTCTTTATCATAATTTTCTGTATGAGCAAGTATGTTATAATGGAAAAATACAATCTTTTATCTCCTTGTAGGCTCTGATGAATACAACAGCCTCAGCGAGGAGGAAAGAAGCTGCAGGCGACCAGTGTGGAGCAAATACCCTTTGGATGTACAAAAGGAATTTGGCTATGACAGTTCCCATGATCTGGATTCAGACTGATGGCCTGCTGGAATTTGTGAGATTCTTCCACAGGCCTTTAAGACTCTGACTACAGAGTTGTCATCTTAGAATTCCTAACTGAACGTGTGGAAAGAAAAACTTTACCCCAGCACAGTGAGGACTTCCATTTATAAGTGACAAGTGAAGCCAAGCATGCTGGGTCATGTCTATAATTCCAGCACTGGAGAGTTTGGGAGCCAAGAAGAGCACTGAGCATGCAAGGCCAGCCTTTAGGCTGCACAATAAGTTCTAGGCCAGCCTGGGCATTTAAAAAAAAAAAAAAGAAGTGATCTTGCAATCTGGAAAATAAAATGATGTAAAACCTCCAGCCCTGGTGGTTTTTGTCATTTTACTTTTATGCTCAGGCCTAAAGGAGCTGGCAGGAGGAGGAAGTACCTGCCTCCCAGTGAAGCCTATTCCCTTTGACTGGAGATGATCTCTGCAAGGACAACAGTGGCTCCCCTGCCTTGAGCTCTGGGAGGTCCGGTCTTCCCCCATACCCCTTTAGACTCTGATAATGGTTGTAAAGACTGCTATCACCTTTTGGCAGTAGTACCAACAAGGAACAGTACATATGAATGTGATACTCTTTAATAAAAACTTATTTTACACAGAAGCAAGCAATTCTTTTTGAAATCTAATTGTTTTAGGTGTTTTCCTCATAGAAAAAGGAGAGGTTAGTGAGATACATGTTCAGAATTAACTTTACACTCACTCAAGCCATTACAGTTGTCCCTCATTCTGTGGTTCCAGGACTACCAAAAACCACCATGTGTCCAAGTCCCTTACATAAGATGACACAGTATTCAGATTATAAAAATCTAATGTAAACACTAAATTGTTATACCACAACTCTTTGGGGAATGAGGAGAGTCCATGTTTAGAATACATACATTTCCCCAAAATACATTTCTTTATATCTACAATTAGATTAGTAAATGCAGGGCTCACAATCACAGGAGGCCAACTGTATCATCAATAGGACACTGTCACCAGAACTCAGCATTCATTTCCCCTTGTTTTCTAAAATCTCAGCTGCCTTAGCCCTAGATGTATTATTGTCCAATAAAGAACATCCACAGCATGTTCTGTGTATGCACAGTGCAGCCGTGTGGCTATTGAGCACTTAAAATAGGAGGGCAACTGAGAAACCTCAAGGAATTTTGATTAGAAGGCAGGGGGTGAGACAAGGCTTCCCAAATTAAAAGGGATCCACCTACCTCTACCTCCTTAGTGCTGGAATTAAAGGCATGAGCCACCACAGCCAGTATTGAGAGAGGTTTTTGTTTTTTTAATATAAGTTGCAATCTTGCCTTAAACTTCCAAGTGCTGGTATAACACATGGATACTTACCAAATTGGCTAGATTTTCATTTTAACTTAGCTACATGTGACTAGTTACTGTAGGAGACACTAAGTGTAGGGAAGTAACACTCAACATTCAATTCAGCTAATACCCTCTTTTCCTGCGATGGATGCATGGGAAAGTAACACAGATGCCTTCTTCCTAGTACTTACAAGTTCATAAGCCTCTCTACACACCTACAAGGAGTTATTAAGCTTGTCAAAGTGATCGAATTTGTATATTCAAGTGGTTATTGGAACTAATCAAACCAACAAAACTATCTCACTCTGAGTATCAACAAACAATTCAGTGTTTTGAGCAATAGACAGCAATGTGATATCCAGCACTAGTCATCTTGATCTGTAGGCATACAAACAGGACTGAAATTCTATTTGCCACTACAGTGTGCTCACTGTTATGCTAACATTAAAGGACTGACAACTTCACAGGCTGTACCCACTACAAAAGGGGAACAAACTGTACCACTATAAGTGGGATTAGCACACCAGGAGGTGGATTCAAAAGACCTGGTGGGAAGAATTCCACTATCAAGCTTAAATGCTGTAGAGGTCTGGCTTCTTTCCCACAGAAAGGGTTCCTGGGGGAAGCTGTGTTCAGCTCAGAAAGAAAAAATCAGTCAAGTGTTAAGGAGAACATGGCTCATTTAGCAAGTATTAGAGCACCTTCAGTGTGAGGTCCCTTTCCCTTCTTCCAGAAACCACTGGAGGGCAGCAAATTCCTAGGATTAGCTGGTTAAGGGCCAAAGACCTCTAAAACCAGGGTCATAACTTGCTTAAAACCTTTGCTCTAGCAGAGCCTTGGAATGGATGCCAGCTTAGCTCAGATATGGATCATATTTGTACGGTCTAGGCAAGTCAGTCTTTACACAAAACTCCTTATCAGACAGGATTCCCAACCCATGACAGTAGGAATGTCACCCTCTCACAGATGCATGCCCAGAACCAATGGCAACTGTGACCATACTCCCCTAAGTCTTTATTGAGCAAGCATATATCCAAGGTTACTCCTGTGCATCTAGGGCCAGTTTGGTACTGGGAGACTGCCTCATAGTTACTATCTGTATTTTTCACAAACTCTAAAGCTTAAAGAAAAAATGTCCACAAGGAATGCCAAGACAGCAGAGCAGGTTCTTCCATGTCCAAGATGGCAGTGTCTAAGGGCATCAAGATAGTTGTATAATCTAGTGTAGACATACTGCTCTCAAAGATCCAAGCCCGTTGTTTTGGCTTTAACTGGCAGCCTAGTCTGATCATCAGAATTTGCTGTTTCTCCCCTTTACCAGGAGCCAGGTTGAGGTTGAAGCTGTTTTCTTTTACAGTCTTCATCAATCTTCACAGGAAGAAAACAGTAGATGCACAAGTACCAAGCATTTTCTGAGACTTCAATCTCACCAGCCCTTGGGCAAGAGAAGGCAAGCAGGTATACCTTCCCATGACCCTAGATGGTTCAGAGTGTAAACAAAGCTTGGTGCTTTCAGAAAGTTAATGACCACGTCCAGCAGAGTGGGCTTTTGTGAGTCCATACATAGGAAATCTCACACAAGCTCTTAACGATAACAAACTATTTGATGACTTGAATCCAGGAGTCCAATGACAACTGATGAATCAGATATCTACCTGAATTTTGCATAACACCATATGCAGAACATTCCAGGCCTCCAGCAATTCATACCAGAAATCCAAAGATTTATTTTATATCAAGAAGAACAAAGATCTACAGTCTTAACAAAACAAAGGATTGTCCTTCAAAATAGCAGTATTACCAGACTTCTGACTCATGAAGTTGCTCATCTGTCCTTGCTGGATCTGAGGCAAATGATAACATGTGACTTATCTATATATTAAAGTATAACAGGTATATGATGAGACAAGATCTTGGCTGATCTTTCCAGAGTGGCTACCTGGAAATTATGTAACCTACGTTAGCCTCAAATTCAAACTCCTTACGCATCACCATGCCAAGTGTTCAGGTTACAGATGTGTGCCACTAGGCCAGCTAAGATACTTTTTCCAAACACAATTCACTTATTGCATCCTGTAGACAAATGATCACTAATGGTTTGTTACAACTGATGTCCTGGATTAAATATCAATAAATAATGAAATACAGGAGTTGAAATTTGGTGACAGTTGTGGCTTGTCCAGGTAGTAGATGCTCCACTCGGCTGGAGTAGTGAGGTTTTCTTTCGGCCCTGTTTCAAGGGCTCCACAGCACCATGGATTCAACTAGGAAGGGCACAATCAAGTAGCCCAGGCAAATTCCTTTATGAGCCAGAAACTCACCTCCTTGCCTAAGGATCCTGACAATACTGCTAATATGATTGAAGCAAAGTCAGACAGGCAGCACCTCCTCAAGGAGATGGATAGTCTATACGCAGTGAGATCCCAAAGATACCCCAACATTCGGATCCACAAATTAGAGGACTTTCATGCCTAGATCCTCAACAGTCTTCTTCCCATCAAGCTTACTGTTGGCTTGAGCGTGACATTCCAGGGAGGGAGTGTTGATCCTCTTGTGGAATTCAGGAAAGGAGGCACACATTGATCCCATGTGAGTTAAATAACACCTACCCAGCAAACAAAACAGGGAATACAACGCTCTCCTCAAGGAAGAATTTTGAGCCACAGGAAGAAATGGTAGCATTTCAGACCTCTAAACATCAAGTCAGACTTGGTCAGAGGAAAACTTCCCATGAAGGAGCCCCACTGTAGACTCCTGGTTTAAACTACAAATAGCTGTGAATCAAGAGCCAGAGCTGTCAATCTAATATTCCTTCAGGGCTGCATCTACTCATCAGAAGTAAAACTAATCAGTCCCCTGCCCCAACCTCCCCTCCCATTGAAGTCCCCCATCTTCAGGCTGGCCTGATCGGTATCTTCCCATAGCTTACCAATGAGAGCATTGGCCCTGAGCCCCCTTACAGAATGTAGGCCAAGAGGCTCCTTTAATCCAGAAGGTTTAGGGAACTGGTCTTTGGTGGCTGTGGTCACAGCCTTATGGGCTTCAGGGAATGTCATCTCTGGCTTCTAGTCAGTTTTCCTCTCAACATTTTTCTCTTCAGCTACATCTAGCTCAGTCAAGACGCAAAAGCAAAGCTTCTGGGTTACTCTGGTGACAGTAGCTAAATGAAAACAAGAAGCACAGGATTTAGCAAACATACTCAGCTACAGTTACAATCTCAATGCCAGAAGGCTGAAAGGATATCAGACTCCTTCCCACCTGTCCCTTAGGCACACAAAGCCTACAGCCAACAAGCCTCTCCATTCCACACCCAGCCTTTTCTTCTCAGATGTGATGGTACACACCTGTAATCCTAGCACTTGAGAGGTAAAGGCAGGATGAAGAGTTCAGGTCATCCTCAGCTACACAGTGAGTCCAAGATTAGCCTGAGTTACATAAAACTCTGTCTCAAAAAATACAAGAAACCCAAGAACACTAAAAAACAAATAGTGCTTTAGCCCTACAATAGAACGCAAAAAAAAGTATGATGGGACACCAGGTTTTATACCTTTGCCATAAGTAAGGTGAAGAGTTGGTAGCCTCTGCTTATCCCTGAGCATAAGCACTCAGCCACAAACAACGGGGGCAAATGGGAGCAAAGAGACACTCACCCAGAATATTCCTAATGAAGAGTGGCCTCCGGGACTCTGGTAGGTAAACACCCATGAAGTAGACAGGGACCCCAGAGAGGGCAATCCCAATGCCAATGAGGGAATTGATGGTGTCACTGAAGAGGGGTACGGCCACCAGAAACAAGGAGCATATGCAGAACACGATGGGAAAAAAGAGGCTCAGCTGAAACAGAGGAGAGTGAGATTTAGTGAGGTGGGATGATAGATCACAGCTCAATCAAAGGCACCTTAAGAAGAGGACCTAGGGCTGGAGAGACGGCCCTTCCAGAGGACTCAAGTTCAATTCCCAGCACCCACAGCAGCTCACAACTGTCTGTAAATCCAGTTCCGGAGGATCTGCCATCCTCGCACAGACAGCATGAGCTGTCCATGTTGAGCTCTCTTGGCCACATAGTTAGTTCCAAGCTAATCTGGACTACATGAGGCCCTATCTTGATGATGATAAAGAAAAAGGAAAAGTAGGAAGAGAAGGAGGAAGAAGAGGAGGAGGAGGAGGAGGAGAAGAAAAAGAAGGAGGAGGAGGAAGAGGAAGAAGAGGAGGAGAAGGAAGAAGAAGAAGAGGAGGAGGGGGGGAGGAGGAGGAGGAAAAGAAAGAAAGAAAGAAAGAAAGAAAGAAAGAAAGAAAGAAAGAAAGAAAG